CTTGATTTTTTTTCTAAAATGCCCTGCTTAATATCAAATATGAAAAGGTTAAAAGTCATAAAGAAATGTTAAATAAGGACAAACAAAAACACGTGATTTGTCAGAATGATTTRTTAAAATTTTTATCTAACAGATAGTCCAACTAAATCATCTAATTAAACTTTTGTTTATGAGAATAATTGTTTATAATAAAATTTTACGACATATAACTGTGCATTCACGTTAACATATATAAACACTGCGCATATAATGCAGGCGAGTTATTGTTTTAAATGTAATTGCAAAAGTAAAAAAAAATATATATAATACATTAAAAAGCTTTTCCACTTGTTTCTGTCAGGTCTAGGCTATAGCGCCCTCTGGCGGTGGAAAATCATAAACAAAGTGCTGAAACTTGATCTGGAACCAGCAGCAGGCCAAGTTTTCCTTCAGAAAAACTCACGTGAGGCAGAATTAAACTTTCAATAGAGACTAGATTGTMAAAAAAAAACCTCTTCCAGTTTGAAGCAAAAACGTTATAAATCTGACAGAAACAGTCATTGAGCTCAAAAACCTGTGATCAATGGATAAACCCTCTGCACTCCAGGAGAAGGTAGTCCTTAATGAAGGTGGGCAGATTCAGTTTTGGGACCACTCTGTGTACTCGCCCCTCCAGGAGGCTCCTGAGTCGACAGCGTGCCAAGTGCTGAAGGGAGCGAGGGGTCATGGCCAGAGAGAAGATGGAGTCGAAGAACTCTCTGTTCTCCTGGTTGGGTTAAAATAAACATAAAGCRATTAATCCTCTCAGTATCACCTATTCAGTTATTTTTAGCCTTTTTAAATATAAAATATAYACCTTAGGTGCTTAAATTGTTCCTCACAACCTGAGACAATTCATTTTCTGTCCTAATTTAAATGTGTCATGTAAGAAAAATCTCGCTACTATTTATAATATTCATTTGAAATGGTTTTAAACAACAATTTTAAACTTGTAATCAGATCATAACACTTTTAAAGTGATATGATCTATAAATATTCTACAAAAAAATAATTTTCTAAAAAAACATGGTGAAAAGTTAATCATGGTTTAACGGTGGAAACAACTTGCCACTAAGGCCTCCGTGGGCACAGACTCCGCCCAGGTGTCTGTGACTTTGAGGTGGCTGTAGGCGTTCAGGAGGACCTCGATGGTGGCCGGAGACTCGGAGCAGTGCTTCAGAACCTGGAACACATCACATCTCACAGCAGAGCYGGTGGATTCATGCAATCATTTAAGTTCGTGAGTGAGCTTGTGACTCCACAGAACTGAAGAAATAAAGTAATTAAACACTTGTGAAATGAACAGATTGGTCTTCCCTCCGGGGGTTTAACTGGAAATTATGCAATTAGTGCTAATTAATCTCCTATTAACACTTGCCTAATTAGGAACCAGGCATTTTGTCTAGTGCACGTGGGTTCGCTGATAGTTGTAGTCTGTTTCCTGYGGAGAGTGCCACACTTCGTGTTGTGTCATGGAATGGGAATGATTTGAATGTGAATTTGAGAAGTCTCCGATGAACGCTGCAGTGCTTCAAGACTCCTAATCTGTTCCATGTGCAGCRCTCGCTAATTATGCAAAACGAGCCACCTTGATGAGTAATTTGTTCACAATATCAATGCAATGTATTACTATAAATCATCCTGAACATCGCTAAATGCTTTTGCACGTGTTACTGTTTTGATACCATGGGGAGAGCGCCGGGCCACACTCGGATGGAGCCATGGTTGAGCAGAGCCCGAACAATCCTCTCGGGGCGATGTGCAGCCTTGTAGCACACCACCTTCAGGATCTTGTGCATGGGAGCCTCGCCGTCRTAGTCCATGTTGTTGACGCAGGCGCCGTTGGCCAGCAGCAGGTCCACCACATCTGGATTTGCGTTCTTACAGGCCATGTGCAAAGGAGAGTGTCTGTCCTGGTCCACCGACCGGATGTCGGCGCCTGCCAACAGCAGGGTCTGGCACACCCCGAAGTAGCGCGCGAGTTCCTGCGCCTCCTGAGGCTGCGAACATGCCGCGTTCAGGGCAGTGAGGCCCTCGTCGTTCTGCTTGTTCACGTCGGCGCCGTAGCGCAGGTAGAGCTCGACGTGATCCAGGAGCCCGTTCCTAGCTGCAACGTGTAAGGGAGTGTCGTCCTCATCCAGGCTGCGGCCGCTGATTGCAGCACCGTACTGAAGGAGATACTTGGCACATCTGCCAGCACAATTACAGGAGAGAGAGAGARAAAAACAAAACAGGATAAATTAGATCAGTCAATCCCCAACTTTTTTTTAAATTCAGCATTGAAATAGGCATTTTACTCTAGATAAGCTTAAGTGGCCCTTCATCATTGCAACCCATTATGTTCTAAATGGGATTAATTAAAATGATTTCAAATTTTAAGTCATTAAACATCACTCCATTTGATCATATTTGCTTGTGGGCTGTATTAGACCAACAGTAAAAACTTAGCAGCATTACGGTAATTCTTCCAGCACTTGTTTGCTCGCCTTATAATTGAATTTAAAGGCCTTTTTTCTTTCTTTGTTTTAATGTATTGCATTGGATCACATTGTTCTAATGAGAGTTGGAAATGGAGATCATATTTCTCCAGTTTTAGCTTCTCTCTATTGAATCCCTGTGAAATTCCGAATAGAATTAAACATTTTACTTCTAACATCAACAACCAAGAAGCTCCATCATATATTAAAGATCTTATTGCACCACTTTTTCCCAACGGAGCACTTCACTCTCAGACTGCAGGTTTGCTTGTGGTTCCTAGAGTTTATTAACGTAGAATGGGAGGCAGAGCTTTCAGTTATCAAGCTCCTCTCGTGTGGAACCAACTTTCTGTTCTGTTCTGTTCTGTTCTGTTCTTCTCTGTAACACTTTATTAATCCCAAAAGGAAATTAAATGCTGTTGTAACTCATATTATCCTGGTTTTGTTAAAGAGTTGTCACAGATCCTGATGGCTGTAGGCAGGAAGGATCTCCTAGCGGGACGTCTTACAATGGATCTGAAGACRCCTTGAATGAAGACACTCTGTTGTATGACAGTCTTATGAAGAGGCTGCTCAGTGTTGTCCATGGTATGGTTAGAAAGCCTGGCAGGGAGATGCTGGAGTCAGGGATATAATCCTGCATCCATGTTTCAGTGAAACACATAATACTGCAGTCCTCTGGCTGGGTTCTTGTTAGGGCTTGGAGTCTGTCCACCTTGTTCCCCTACAATCTCCCAATTGCCCATCATGATTGATGGAAGAGATGGTTTGTGCTTCCTCCTTCTCTCAATCTTCTTTGCTCCTGCTCTGCATCCATGGCTCCTCCTTTTCAATTCACGTGGGATTCGGGGGCAGTAATCGAGGCTGTAGTTGAGGTATTATTTGAGCTTTTGAGATGTTAATCAGCTGCTCCCGGTTATAACAAACCACCATGTTGCTGTGGTTATGCATCATAACAAATGTCCAAAAGCAAAATAGGTGTTAGCAAAAATGCTTCCAGCTGCATTGTATCTAATAGCAAGGGGAATAATAAGAAAAATATAAAAATCAGAAAAAGAAAAATTAAAAAAGTTTAAAAGTATCTTAAAATGACTGTAGCAGAGATACTCCAACATGCTGCCATCTTGAAATCAAAAGGCTGATACTCTGTCTACTTTTAAGACTAGACTTAAGACTTTCCTTTCCTGATAATTCCTATAGTTGGGKTTGGTTTCCTGAGTTATTCCTTAGTTCTGCTATTGGCTTCTGTGTTTGTTTGGGTCTCTTTCCTGGCCCCAAGTCCAGCTGGTTGAGGCAAATGGCTGCCTGTCATGAGCTTGGGTTTGCTGGAGGTTTCTTCCTGTTAAAAGGGAGTTTTTCCTTTCCACTGTCGCCAATGTGCTGCTCAGGATGGGACACTGTGATGAAGCAAAGATTCGGCGCAGTCTGCTGGCTTCTTTGCATTTATTATTTTGTGTGTGTGTGTGTGTGTGCGGTGCCCTGAGACAACAGTTGTTGTGACTTGGTGCTATACAGTATAAACTGATTTACTTACTCAAGGGATTCAGGACAAGTGCAAACGTGCAAAGGCATGAGGCCGTCTTCCGTGACAGCGTTTGCATTTGCGCCGTGCATYAGCAGCAACTTGGTGCACTCTGGCTGGCAGTTCTCGCAGGCCTCGTGCAGGGCCGTGGTGCCTCCAGGCGCCAGGTCTACGTTGGCCCCACGCTGAAGTAAGAGGTGCAGGCAGTCTGCAAATCCTCGACCAGCGGTGATGTGGAGCGGCGTTGTCAGCTCCTGCTCGTAAGTCAGAGACCAAAGTCCTGCCAGCGGGAGCAAAAAAAAATGCAGCATTTCAGTGTTAGGAGCAGCAGACGTGTGACAAGAGCTTCTGTTTAGCAGATCACATTTTAATGTATTTCTCATGGCATGCTCTTTTTGGATGCTTGCATTTCCCCTAAACTACTTAAAACCTACTGAGGCTCCTGTAGTTCAACCTGAAGTTCTTCCACTCCTCTAAGTTACTAGTGTCATAAATGGCATCAGCGAGGTAGCTGTACTCATCATCGTCCACGATGCTGAGAAGAGTCAGCTCATCTCCCACAAGCAGAGAGTTCCAAAACTGCAGGATGCAGCCCGAGGCCTTGGCTGTGGCGATCACGTCTTCGCGATACTTCTTTGGCTTCTTCCACTTTATCTTAGGCCCCAAAGAAGCCATTTTCCAGTTGGTTTGTTTGTTTTTTGATGCGTGGTTTCTGGTGAAGGGGTTGCTTATGCGAGTTGTTTGTGCGGATGGAGCTATTTCAGGGAGGTGTCATGTGATATGTTGACCCTGTAAACTGTGGAAGTGTAATTCGTGGAAGCCAGTGACTGTGCAAAATGAAACCTGACCTATTTTTTTAAAACGTGTCGCCTAAAGTTAACCAATAGTCAAATTTGCATGAAACCGTTTCATCCATCCATCCATCCGTTATCGATACCTGCTTCTTCCTTTCAGGGTCACGGAAAATCATTTCACAATCATCTAAATATTTTATACAACCTAGGAAAACGTTGAAGTGAAAGTTGACCTAGATTTAGTTGAATGAGTCATAACTGAGTCTAATGACAAAACAATAGGTTGAATATAAAATCAAATAATGACTGGGACTAAATAAGAAGTAGACATGAATGGTTTCTATKATTATTTTTTCATGATCTGTTTCTATAAATATAGCATCCAGCATCTTTAAAAGCTGCAGCAGGGTGAGTCACTTCTTATAGTAGCACTAAAAAGATCAAACAATTACTTTAATTCAAGATTTTTTAATGCTTTGTCAAATCAAATGAGTTTATAAATAGATCCTGATTTACAGCAGAGACTTTTTCATACCTGCCCCTCGAGCAACCCAACGCATCTCCCCTCCCTGCGGCTCTATGATGAGGTTTGCCGTGGACCCTCTTGGGAAAAAACGCTTCAAAGCCTCCAGGTCTCCTGTATACAAAGCATTTTGGATGACCACATCATGGCAGGTACCTGGTGGCCGGGTGTAGCTGGACCTGAGTGGTGCTCTGTCCATAGCCTCTTTCCTCAGCATGTAGCTGCTGAGGTGATGGGAGGCCAGCCGCCTGTTGAACTTGTGCCTCTCCAGCATTTCTTTGTCAAGTTCAAGTGAGCGCAAGGCCGTGGATGTGAAGACAAAGCTGTCTCCAGACATTTTAGCTGTGTCTTTAGGGCAGAAAATAATGTATGATGAGTAAAAAAATGCTTTTAAAAAGACCTGTCTCACTTCTGTTTTTGTTGCTGAACTCTCTCTGGCTGTTGTCCACTTTTAGCCTGCCGGCTGTTCACACGGTTGGGTCACAGGGTTGTTTTGGTATTCAGTATGAGACCCTCCCTGCAGTGTGACAAGTTGGGCYTATTTTTATGTCTCACATGCAGCCACTCCAACCTCTCATGTTTTGCCTTTCACCCAGCCATGAAGTTTTTTTGTTTTTTTTGTGTGTGTGTGTCAGGCTGCAAAAGAGTTAAACAGATTAATGCTCAAGTCATTTTGGAATTAATAAAAAAATGCTGTCTTTTTTTTGGTAAATTTTACATAAAGAATAAAAAAAATGTAATGCCCGATCTAAATATTAATCACTAACTGCAAGGATGGGTTGTTGACACAGAGGGCCTCATACAGCTGCACTTCAATGTAAACCAGTGCGATAAATTACTGTACTTAATTTAACGGTTTTGTTTGTTTATTAAATATTATATTATATTATAT